CATTTCCTAATAGGTAAAATGGGGATAATAATGGCATCCATATTTTAGAGCTATTGTGAAGATTAGGTAAATTAGAACATGTCAAGTGCAAACCTAGCAAGCAGATTGAAATGCTAGTATTACCATTCTCAGAAGTGTTTAAGCAGGATTCATGGCAGGATAACATGCACCTTTCTTGGTACCACCAACCAGTGATTACTGGCTTGGGGCACCCAAGAAATAATGGGGTTCTGTGGGTTATATCTGAAATTTGAAACCCATCTGGTAGACCAAATATTCCCCAACTCAGGTTTGGGTGTGGTGGCTCAGGCCTAAAATTTTAGCACTCTGAGAGGCCAAGGTGGGAGAATTGCTTGAGTTCAGGAGTTTAAGATCAGCCTGAGTAAGAATGAAACTCCATGTCTACTAAAAATAGGAAAATTAGCTGGGTGTCGTGGTTCACACCTGTAGTCTCACTACTTGGGAGACTGAGGTAAAAGGATTGCATGAGCCCAGGAGTTTGAGTTTGCAGTGGCAAAAGAGCAAGACTCTTGTCTCAAAAACAAAACAAATAAACCCCCCCCAAACTTCCCCTACTCAGGGACTGCAGGGGAAAGAAGTATGAAGAGGAGCCCCTAAGCATGAAGGACATTCAGAGGAATGCTAGGGGATGGGAAAGGGCAAGTTAGAAGGCTGGGTGAAGTTTGGGCAACCCAAGAATGGAAGGAGGAAGGATGCTTTCTTGGGAGGCAAGCTAGAGCAAAAGCTCAGGGGAGAAAGACTTTATTTAGGGATAGTGGGAGTTTCCCAATAACAATTCCCTGGTCCTCAGACTTGGTTAGAAACCCAATAGCATCAGATACATCCCTGAGAAGCTTCCCCAGAAACTAGGCTTTCATGCAGTAGCCATGGGGCTTTGTCCCAGGAGAGATTGCCAGGATTTAAGGGTGATATAACCAGGGTCGACGTAGATTTCTGGATGGGGATCCCTTCTTGGGGGAGCTGCATGATGGGAACTGGTATGCTTGGGCTAAGGTGTTCCCCTCCTCCCCAGGGGCCATGGTAGGATTCTGGAGCAGAAGGCAGCCATCTACTTTGTTGGCCAGGGCTTCTCAGTCCTCCTTTACAAAGTGATCCCTATGCTGTCACAACAACTACATTGCCACTGGGGAACAGGCAATTGTGATCATAGATGGTTCCCCTGTCCTAACCCTCTTGTCTTTTTTTTTTTTTGAGACAGAGCCTCAAGCTGTCCCCCTGGATAGAGTGCCATGGCATCACAGCTCACAGCAACCTCCAACTCCTGGGCTCAAGGGAGTCTCCTGCCTCAGCCTCCCAAGTAACTGGGACCACAGGCACCTGCCACAACGCCTGGCTATTTTTTTGGTTGCAGCCATCATTGTTGTTTGGTGGCCCAGGCTGGATTTGAACTTTTTTTTTTTTAAATAGTCTCACTTTGTTGCTCTTGGTAGAGTGCTATGGTGTCATAGCTCACAGTAATCTCGAACTCTTGGGCTCAAGTGTTTCTCTTGCCTCCGCCTCCCAAGTACTGGGACTACAAGTACTTGCCACAACGCCTGGCTATTTTTAGAGATGAGGTCTTGCTCAGGCCAGGCTGGCTCTTGGAAGTCTTGATATTCCCCATTTCCCAGAGTAGCCCTAGAATACTCAACTAGTTGACTTGGATTTATTTATTTATTCATTTATTTATTTATTTTGAGACAGAGTCTCCCTATGTCACCCTTGGTAGAGTGTGGTAGCATCACAGCTCACAGCAACCTCAAACTCTTGGGCTTAAGCAATTCTCTTTTCTCAGCTTCCCAGGTAGCTGGGACTATAGGTGCCCATCACAATACCCAGCTATTATTTTGTCACAGTTGTTTAGCTGGCCTGGGCTGGGTTTGAACCTGCCACCCTCAGTGTATATGGCTGGCGCCATAACCATTGTGCTATAGGCGCCGAGACAGTGACATGGATTTAAATCTGACTACCACAGTCAAGCCAGGGGCCTCTGGACAAGTCATTAAATGCACTGAGCTTCAGTTTCTTCATCTAAGTGGAGAGTAACTTTATTGAATACACACTTCATGAGAGAATGAGTATATATTTGTGAGTGAACCAAGTATGTAGTCCCTACCTTCATGAAACAACTGGAAGAAACATTAAACATCGTCCAAATAATTCATTGATTATAGCTGTGAAAGGTGCTGCTAGTAAGGAAAATGTAGTCTGCAATGAAGGTGTAAGATGGCAGGGACCAGACCAGTTCCAAAGGGGCAGGGATAGGGTCCCTTGAGGAAGAAAATTTTAACTGGGATCCAAAAAATAAGGAAAAGTGAAATGAGGCTGGGTGCGGTGGCTTATGCCTGTAATCCTAGCACTCTGGGAAGCTGAGGCAGGTGGATTGCCTGAGCTCACCAGTTGGAGACCAGCCTAAACCAGAGGGAGACCCTGTCTCTAAAAATAGCCAAGTGTTGTGGCGGACACCTGTAGTCCCAGCTACTTGGGAGGCTGAGGCAAGAGGATCACTTAAGCCCAAGAGTTTGAGGTTGCTTGAGCTATGATGACACAGTACTCTACCAAGGGCAACAAGGTGAAACTGTCTCAAAAAAGAAAAAGTGAAATGAAGGGGGGGGGTGGTGGAAGGACACCGAAGCAGAGGAAACAGTTTGTGCAAAGGTCCTTACCATAAAAGAGCTTGAATGTTGGCAAACTGAAAGAAATCCAGGGTGGAGGAGAGTGATCCAGGGAAAGTGTGCTGTGTGGTGTATAGTGAAGTTAAAGAAATAATAGGCAGGCTGGGTGTGATAGCTCATGCCTGTCTGTAATCCTAGCACACTGAGAAGCTAAGGGGGGTGGATTGCCTGAGCTCAGGAGTAGGAAACCAGCTTAAGCAAGAGCAAAACCCTGTCTCTACTAAAAATAGATAAAACTAGCAGGGCATGGTGGCACATGCCTGTAGTCCTAGCTACTCCTCAGGAGGCTGAACCAAGAGGATAACTTGAGCCTAAGAGTTTGAGGTTGCAGGCTTGGTGCCCATAGCTCAGTGGTTAGGGTGCTGGCCACATCCATCAAGGCAGGCGGGTTCAAACCTGGCCTGGGCCTGCTGAACAACAATGACAACTGCAACAACAACAACAAAAAATAGCTGGGCATAGTGGTGGGTGCCTGTAGTTCTAACTCCTTGGGAAGGTGAGGCAAGAGAATAGCTTAAGTCCAAGCGCTTAAGCTCCAGTCGCTTAAGAGTTTGATGTTGCTGTGAGCTGTAATGTCACAGCACTCTACCGAGGGTGACATAGTAAGACTCTATCTCAAAAAGAAAAAAAAGGCTCTGTGCCTGTGGCTTAAGTGGCTAAGGCGCCAGCCACATACACCTAAGGTAGCAGGTTCAAATCCAGCCCAGGCCCGCTAGACAAGGCTGGCTGCAACCAAAAAATAGCCAGGCATTGTGGCAGGCACCTGTGGTCCTAGCTACTTGGGAGGCTGAGGCAGGAGACTCACTTGAGCCCAGAAGTTGGAGGTTGCTGTGAGCTGTGATGCCATAGTACCCTACCCAGGAGGATAGCTTGAGGCTCTGTCTCAAAAAAAAGGTAGTAGGTGCTTGGCGCCCATAGTACAGTGGTTACGGCACCAGCCACATACATCGAGGGTGGCCTGGGCCAGCTAAAACAACTGTGACAAAAAGATAGCTGGGCGTTATGGTGGGTGCCTGTAGTCCCAGCCACTTGGGAGGCTGAGGCAAGAGAATCACTTAAGCCCAAGAGTTTGAGGTTGCTGTGAGCTATGATGGCACAGCACTCTACTGAGGGCAACATAGTGAGACTCTGTCTCAAAAACAAACAAAAAACAAAACCAAAAACATCCATTCTTTGCAGATCAAAACCAGACAAAATGACCAAGCTCATATAGTTCAACCTAATTAGACCAAAACCTGAAAAGTAGCCGACGATCTGAGCCTAAGAAATTTTGACACACTCTGCGCCTGTGGCTCAAGTGGCTAAGGCGCCAGCCACATACACCTAAAGGTGGCGGGTTCGAATCCAGCCTGGGCCGCCAAACAACAATGGTGGCTGCAACCAAAAAATAGCCAGGCATTGTGGCAGGCACCTGTGGTCCTAGCTACTTGGGAGGCTGAGGCAGGAGACTCACTTGAGCCCAGAAGTTGGAGGTTGCTGTGAGCTGTGATACCACCGCACTCTACCTAGGGGGACAGCTTGAGGCTCTGTCTCAAAAAAAAAAGAAATTTTGACAGAGAGGAACTGGAGCAGAAAGCAAACTGGAGTAGGGAGAAATGGACAGAATAGAGAATAACAAGGGAGTAGAACTAACAGGATTTGGTAATTGATTGAATGCAGCGGGTGGAGGTAAAAGGGCCCAATCAAGGGTAATACGAAAGTTTCAGATTTGGTAGCTGAGTAGTGTCAGCTGATGGCACTCATCCAAGCCACTGCAAGAGGTAAGGGAAGATGTGCACAGACCAGAGCGTATCATAGATTTGGGGTGGGTGGAATTTGAGGTGCCTCAGAACCTTCTGAGTGGGATGATGAGCTGATGTTTGGACCTATGGTTCTGCAGATATTCATTTCCACCTTTGTGTTCCTAATTCTCAAGTATACACTTTTGAAAATCAAAAGCATGAGGCTTGGCACCTGTGGCTCAAGTGGCTAAGGCACCAGCCACATACACCTAAGATAGTGGGTTCAAATCCGGCCCAAGCCCACCAAATAACAATGATGGCTGCAGCCAAAAAATAGGCAGGCGTTGTGGTGGGCGCCTGTGGTCCCAGCTACTTGGGAGGCTGAGGCAGGAAACTCACTTGAGCCCAGGAGTTGGAAGTTGAGCACCAGCTAAGTGTATATATTGAGCACTGGCTAAGTGTAGGCATTTTTCTAAGTGATAGGGCTACACCAATGAGTGAAACAGTGTCCTTGCCCCACCCTTGGTGCTGACATTCTATGTAAGCAGACAGACAATAGGCAAATAAACACAAAATAATGTTAAACTGTATTAAGTGGAGTGTAGCAGGGTAAGGGGTTAGGGAGTATGGGGAATACTTGTTTGGGGTAGGTTAGTCCAGGAACGTCTCTCTGAGGTAACATTTGAGCAGAGGCCTGGAGGAAGTGTGAGGATGAGCCTGTCTGGAAGATACAGGCAGGAAACAGCTCAGCAGGTTTGAGGAAAAGCAAAGAGATCTGTTGGTGGGAAAGGGTCAGGTCTTGTGGAACTCCATAGGCCCTACAAAGGAGGACGCAAAGTCCTGTACTTAGCTCCAGGCTGCTGCAAGGGTAGGGGTTAGGCAGGAGGAGAGAATCCATGAAAGATTTCTCCTCTGTTTGGGCCCCAGAGCCAGAAAAGCCCCTTTGTGCAGAAGGTGGGTGGCATGTTCTGGGTAGGGGAAGTGCTGTGCTTGATCTCAAGGCCTGCTCCTTGAGGAGCTGGACAATGGGGCTCCTTGTGGTTGGACTTGGGGGCCAAGTGGCCCCCTGAATAATGGGATTCCTTAGCCACGAGGCATGTGACCCCAAGACCTTGGCTTCTTGCCAGAGGGTCTGGACCTGTTGCTAGGAAATGAGATGGGGGAAGGGAGAGGTAAGGGGGGTACCTCCATCTGGAGGCCTTCTCTGGAGACAGTGCCCTGCTCTGTCTCAGGCTGCAGGAGGTGAGAGATGGGTCGGGGGAGTGGGTGTGGCTCTGCTTGGAGCAGTAGGAAGGGCAAAATCTACAAATGGTTCTACAGTAGGCCAGGAGGGAGGAGCTGATGCCCCCAGGCCCAGTGGGTGGGGACAGGCTGGAGAGGGCCTGGCAATCCTGTCTGTTTGTGTCCCTTCAGAAGAGGAGAGAGCATGGAGCTGGAGAGGATTGTCAGTGCAGCCCTCCTTGCCTTTGTCCAGACGCACCTCCCGGAGGCCGACTTCAGGTACCAACAGCTCCCCCAGAAGCATCATGCTAGGATCAAGGCTGGAGCTGTCTAGCAGTACTCTGGATCCCCCCTGGCCCATGAAGAGACTGAGGAGGAAATCACCCAACTCTATCCTGTGGTGGGGGAGGGCCAATTATGATTTGTTGAGGTGGCCTGACCTCTCATCCTGTCCCTGTCGCTTTTGTTGGACAGATGTGAAAACACAGCTCAGGGAGGGTGGGATACTCTCTGGCTTCAATAATTGAAGTCTAGCTTAAGGACTCCATAAAGCTAAAGGCTACAGTCTCAGGTTAAGTGGGGTGCTGGAGGCATTTAATATCCTACCAGGGGCTGTCCTGTCTCCTTCCTACAGTGGCTTGGATGAGGTCATCTTCTCCTATGTGCTTGGGGTCCTGGAAGACCTGGGCCCCTCAGGCCCATCAGAGGAGAACTTCGATATGGAGGCCTTCACTGAGATGATGGAGGCGTATGTTCCTGGCTTCGCCCACATCCCCAGGTGGGACCTGCCTGGGACCAAGAAGAGGAAGGGGTCGGACTGATTATGGGGGCTAGGCAGAGTTGTCCTCTCACCACCTTCCTTATTTTTTCAGGGGCACAATAGGGGACATGATGCAGAAGCTCTCAGGGCAGCTGAGTGATGCCAGGAACAAAGGTGAGTCTGGGGCTTTGGGTATTTGGGTATTTTATAACTCCCCACACCTTCCCCACAAAGCCCTGGCCAACCTGATGCTCTGTCTCTTTAAGAGAACCTGCAACCTCAGAGCTCTAGTGTGCAAGGTCAGGTGCCCATCTCCCCAGAGCCCCCGCAATGGCCTGAAAAGCTCAAAGAAGAGACCAGGTCTTCTGCTGATGCTGCTGGGGACACTCAAGATGAGGTACTGGTAGAGGAGGGCACTGATGAATCACCTAGGAGGAGGGAAAGGAGGAAATACCGCCTCAATACCATTTGTGCCCATAGGCAGCTGGTGCTGAAGAAGAGCTGCTGCCAGCGGTGGATATACTCCTAGAGGTCTTCCCTACCTGTTCAGTGGAACAGGCCCAGTGGGTGCTGGCCAAAGCTCGGGGTGATGTGGAGGAAGCTGTACAGATGCTGGTAGAGGGGAAGGAAGAGAGGCCTCCAGCCTGGGATGGCCCCAACCAGGTATCCTCTCCCAGCCCTCACATGTGGCTCCAGCTACATTCCCCCTTAATGTTAAGCCCCCACCCCTACCTGTCCCCCTCTTTTTCCCCTGCTGGTGCCCTTGGGTCTAGACCAGGCTTCCTCTCTCTATAGGACCTGCCCAGGTGCCTCAGAGGTCCCCAAAAGGATGAGCTGAAGTCCTTCATCCTGCAGAAGTGAGTCTGGGCTGGGCTGGGCTGGGCCCTGGAGGGTCTTCCCAGGGTGACAGGAGCTTCACCCAGCCAGTTTTTGGCAGGTACATGATGGTGGATAGTGCAGAGGATCAGAAGGTTCACCGGCCTATGGCTCCCAAGGAGGTAAGAGGTGCTGGAGATGTGGAATGGGTGGGACTGGCTCCTGGTCCCTTCTCTTGCCACTCACTGCCTTATTGTCTGACAGGCCCCCAAGAAGCTGATCCGATACATTGACAACCAGATAGTGAGCACCAAAGGGGAGCGATTCAAAGATGTGCGGAACCCTGAGGCGGAGGAGATGAAGGCCACATACATCAACCTCAAGCCAGCCAGAAAGTACCGCTTCCACTGAGGAACTGGCTGGACTCTGCTGGAGCCTTCTAGGCTCAGGTCCCAGAGGGATGCAGGAGCCCTACACCCCCACATAGGGGACTCCCTAACTCCTGTCCCCCATCTTTATACCCCTTCTCTATGTCCTTGCTCCATAGTGTTAATCTATTCTTGGGGCTGCCTCCATGGGCACAGTAAAGGTTGCCCAAGGAAGATGTGAGTGCATTCTGGTCATTTCTGCTTCAGAATGTATCCCAGGGCTGGGATACTATGCCTGTTTGACATTCCCTCCCCAATCTTATATCCCCTAGCCTCCGACAGGGCAGCACAGGCAAGAGGGGGGTAAAAAGCTCTTTATTTGAAGCTCCAGGGGAGGACAGGGCACTAGCCTCTCACCAGAGGCCCCCACAGTTCGGTTTCCCTACAGCTCAAGTGTCAGGCTACACAGTCCAGCTGTGTTCTAACCAGCAGGTGGGTCAGACCTGCAGGTTGACAAAAGGTGCAAAGCCCGCCATGTCCTGCAGCAGTACCAGGGCCTGGTGCAGCGGTGGCTCCACGTCGATGTCCACACCGCGCTTTCGCAAGCGGCTCAGGCTGGGCTCGGCCACATGGTGGCAGTGCCTCACCCGCAGCGAGCGCAGCGCTGGGCAGTACTCGGCCAATGTCCTGAGGGAGGAGTGGGGTGAGGCTAGGGGCCCGACTCCACCACACCCCACCGCTCCCGCGGCGGGGGGTGGGACATAGGGGCGGGGCCCGGAACCCACTCAACCTAGGACTGGCTCCAGCAAAGTCCGAGTCTCCCTCCAGCTTGGGGCTTACTTCTTTCCTCCTTACACAAGGCCTGTATTTGGGTTATATACCCCATGCCTCCAGTGAGCTGGAGACATCTGGTCTCTTTTATCCGGAGGCTGATGTGGAAAGATCGCTTGAGCCCAGGAGTTGGGAGATCAGTGTAGGCAACCTAGCAGGACCCCTCTCTATAAAAAAATATATATAAATAAAAAATAAAAGGGATACCTGCTCCTTACCTTCGTCTAGGATTGTAAGTTTCCCCCTCTGTTGAAGAAAAGTCAGAAATCGACTTTCTATGTGAAATCTCCTAATGTTGGTTTTAAAAGTTTTTAAACTAAGGGCTGTCTGGCCTGGGCAATCCTAGAAGCCTTTTCTGTGCAGGATGGGAGTGCTGTGGTTATCAGGAAGATCCAGAACCTCCACTCTGATCTTTGACAACTACAGCCCGCCCCTACTCCCAGAGGCTGTTTGCTCTCCTCCCACCTCACCATCCCCCCTAGGCCCAGGCACCTGACGCCATCGCTTCCAACGCGGAGGCAGCCGGTAAGGTCAAGGTGCTCGAGTTCCGGGCAGTTCCGTGCCAATTCTTGAACCGCGGTGTCCCCCACGTTGGCGTTGACAGCCAGTGAGAGGCTGCGGAGGCTGGCGCCTAGCCTCTGCGCCAGGTATACGATGGCCTCGTCCTTGAGCTGGCGGCAGGCAGTGAGGTCCAGCTCCTCCAGGGCCGGGCAGCGGTCCACGAGGCCTCGCAGCGCCAACCCGTCCACCCAGTCACAGTGTGCGAGCGACAAGCGCTGCAGGCGGGGGCAGCCCTCGGCCAGTGCCCCTAGCGCACGGCGGCTCAGTTGCACGCAGCCCGCCAGCGCCACACTCCGCAGCTGAGGATTCCGCGCCAGTACCGGCACCAGGTCCTCGTCTAACAGCCATTCGTGACACGGCGCCAGCGCCAGCTCCTGCAGCCCCTCAGCGTCCCGCAGCAGCCAGGAAAAGGCGGCTCGTGGGATCTGCGGACCCACCTGAGGGCGAGGAAACAGCTCAACTCAGCCGTTCCAGGAGGCAGGACGGGCGCTGTCTATCCGCCCCTGAGTTCTTTCCCCGCAGCCGCCTGCCCTCAGAGCTTGCCACCCGCCCTCCCAGGAGAGACCCCACGTTAGCTCTGAGTCACTACCCAGTATTCGTCCCTTGGGAGCACTTCCCGCTGCGTGCACGGTTTCCTCGGCAGCCCTGGCCTCCCGAGGGGGTCTGGAAGGGTACACAGCAGGGCCGAGGGCTGGGCTGGAGGCGGGGCGGAGGCGGGACACCGATGGGGGCGGAGCTCCGGCCCCCGGCTCACCTGAGCGGCGTCGAAGCGGCGCAGTCCGGCCAGGTGCAGCTGCACTAGTGCCCGGAAGCCCCTGCTAACTCGTTGCAGTCGGAGTAGTTGGCGCAGTGGGACCCGGTTCAGGACGTGTGGGAGCAGCACGTCTTCCCAGGGCAGGTCCAGGAGCCTGCGGGTAAAGGAGCGTTGGCGTCTAAGGTCACTGTTACCTGGGAGTACGTCTTTGTTATGCTTCTGCGCCCGGGCTCCCAAGAGCAGCCCTCAGATCCTGTCTGGGTTCAGCTCCCCTTTCCTGGGTCCCTCTTCCCTCGCTCGGCCCCTCCCATGCTAGGTACCTGACGGCTCCGGGCTCTTGCTCTACTCCGGACGGCTCCATCGGTGGCTCCATCGGCTGTCTACTGCGCGTGCGCAGTAAGGTCGTCTCGCTTTGGCGTAGGAGAAGCTACTGCAAACCCGCCTCCTTGGCCTGTAGAGACAGACCGATTCAATCGAGTGCCGTCTCACTGAGGATCCTATCTGAAAGCTTTCCGGATGGACCCGAAACTGAGGCGAAGCAGACCGGTGTTGTAACATTAGACCTTGCCTTCTCTGCTACTGGGCTTGAGGTCTGTAGCTGCAGAGTGCAGTAGACATCAGAGACTGGTTTTCGCCGTCGTCTTGGGCCAGTAGCCGCCTCTGAGTGCAATGGTGATGGGAGGAGCAGGCAAGGCCAAACGCAGAAGGGGCGGAGCCAGAGCTCCTAGGTTACGGGCCTCCCTTCTCCTCTCTGGTTGCGTTCTGCGACTTTGAAAAATGCAGAGAAACTATCTGAGCTCTTACTGACTGGCACTGTTCAATAGGTAATTGTTTAAATAATGAATGAGTGAGCGAAGCTGGAACTTTTCTTCCTTCATCAACCAAACTTGTTCAAACCTCCCATTCCTGATTTATTGTGAATTACCGAATTATCCAGCCTTTTCACTCCGCAACAGTGTAGGCTGGGCTTCCTCCTGGGGCGAGACGTAGAGGGCGCTAAGGACTACACATCCAGCTAGGTTCCTTTCCTTTCCTTTAGAGTCCTGAGGAAAATAAGTGCTCAGCTCAGCCCGCTAGGGGTACTATTTCTTGGCTGGCCTTGGATTTAGTTGTAGTGTTTGGGGTGATGCCCCAAAGCTCTGTACTCAGCTTCTGAGTTGCCCTTTTACCACGTCCCCAGGGCCTCATCCTCTACACAGGGTGGATGTGGGGGGAATGTGAAGGGCACGAGGGCCACTGCCATCGCTAAGGGTTGCGCGCTTCTTCTGTGCAACCGCTTCAGCTGGCTCTTCATAACGAAAACTGCTTCTTATCCGTTATCTCATCAGGGCTTCGGGCACCTCTGCAAGGTGGGAAGGTCTGTACTATCACTCCATTTTAAAGATGGGGACATAGGCCCTAGAGAGGAAGCGCCTTGTCCAGAATCAGGGAGACAGGAATAGAGAACTCAGACATCTGGTTTTCCCAGAATCCCTTCTAGGCTGCCCCACCCTCCAGCGCAGCTAGAAGAGAGTGGAGAAGGACCAGAAAAGGGTCAAGTTAGGTAAAGGGCTTACTTCCTCTTCCTTAGCCTGCTTGGGAGGGAGTGGCTGGGAAGATTGACCCCTGCATAGAGCCATGTGAGCGCGCACCAGCTCCGGCCGCGCGCGTCCTCCTCCCCGCTTTGTTCGCACTTCTGCGCCTGCGCAGTGCGACAAATCTGGCGCTGTCCCCTTCAGCACCGCGCGGAGCCCGCGCCACCCCTCCCCGCGGTGAGCCCCGCGGGACCCCGCCTTGCTCGTCCTTGCACCCCCTGACTGCCCAGACCCCTTCTTCCTTCCCAGGTTGCCACCTTCCCATCTTGGCCTTCTCAAGGAGAGTAGTTGCCATAGTAACTTGAGAGGCACTTTCTTAAAATAGCGAGGCCCCCTTTTACGCTGGCCAAGGGCACAAAGGTTGCCTGTCCCCCACTTCTTCCAATCCCCTGGTCATTCGGTCTAACCTCTTACCCCTGGGCGGCCGGGATACCTAACTCAAGCAGGAAGGAAGTTCTTCCTGAAGTCTGGCTTAACATCCCTCCTGCTGCACCCTGGCTGGGTGGTCAGTGTTGGGTCTCCTGGGTCCAAGACTCAAAACTCCGAAGGATTCAAGACGATGTTTCCTAGATCTCCCTTCCATAGTCGATGGTCTCCTGAATTTAGAAGGCGGGTCTGGTCTACACCCATACCGTGTGCTTGGTGCGTCCGCGCGCTCGTGGGGGCGGGAGCGCGTGTGGCATGTAACAGGTCATGTGGCAGCCTCCTAGGGACACGCGTGGGGTCTGGAGAGGGACACGCGTGTGCAACTGGGCCATACGTGTGGCACGAGGGCGGTGGGTAAGAGGGATGTGGACACGAGTGGGGCGGGGCACGTGAGGGTTTGGAGAATAGAACCAGGGGTTCCACGAGGCCTCCCCCTCGTCTGGGGCGGGTCTTCGGTTGGCGGGAGAGCTCAGCGGAGACCTAGTGGCGAAGGGGGGCTGACAGCCTTCGGGCCTCAGGGCCCTGTGAAAGGGCGGGGGGTGGGGGGATTAGCGTTGCCTGAGCAGCGCGTAGGGGGTAGGAGGAGGGATTGGGAGGCGGGCGGGCCTGGAGCAAACGGGAGCCGTGCTGCCTTCACAGTTGAGCAGGGCCCGGCCTCTCCTCTACCTCTCCTCCGTCTCAGCTCCAGGCGAGCAGCGGTGAGTACTGAGGCGGCTTTGAGTGGGGGCTGCACAAAAAATTGGGATAGGCCCCTTTTGAGCTTCCAGAATCCGCCTGGCAGCGTTGCTGCTCCTGACCTCTCTCCTTACCCTGCCTTGCCACCAGAGATCCCATTACTCATTTATGGTCTCTCCTGGGCTAAGATCTGTCATACTCCTGGGGGTAAAGGGGAGGGAGAAGGATGTGGTGCAGTCTTTGCCTTCCTCCCAAGAGACCCCAAGGACTTGGGGTGGGGGGAAGGATATGTGTCCCTTCTTGAGTATGTGTGTAAATGTACATCTGTATTTGTATGTGATTGTGACCAGTATATCTGAGTGTCTGATACACCTGTATCTCTGTGTGTATTGGAGAATGAGAGCTTGTGTATATATTTGGGTATCTCTTTGTGTGTTCCTATTTGACAATGATGATGTGTGTAAAATAAGCATGTGCCTTTTTATTACACACATATTTGTTATGACTGTGAGAGTGCATGAGGGTGTGTCTTTGAGCAATATGTATGTGTGTCAGTCTGTGTGAAGGTGTTACTTATCAATGTGCATAACTGTGTATATTTGTTCTTATGTATGTATGTATATGCATGAGTGCATGCATGTATGTGTGTGTGTGCATGTGCCAGTCTGTACCTGTGTGGAGAATAAGAATGTCCCTTTCCCATTCTGCATATATATACTGGGGATAGGGATCTCTGCTTAGGCCTTTCTCTTACCTCCACCCTGTGGCTTTCAGCCCTTCCTTGTCCCTATATAACCCCCATTCATTCTTCTTCCCTCTCCTTCCAGGAGGCCTGAGTTTCCCTTCCCTGAATGAAAGCCTCCATAAGAGACTATAGAGGACCCAGGGCTGTACTGTATTATGGTGATCACTGGCTGACACTCCTAATCCAGAGGGTGGGGTACCAGCCTCCCCCACACCAGAAGTAGCTCCAAAGTGCCACAGTAACTCTGGGCTCGTTCAACTTCTGAAATAGCTTCTTCTCTCCTCCTATGGTGATATTCATGGCCCCCAGGCAGAATGAGAGGAGCCAGGGGCCCACTGGGTATATAATTCTTTTCTCCTCAAGTCTCCATGAAAGGAACCCCCAGATGTAAGATCACTGATACCATATTTCTAGGGCTAGGTCCCTGGTGCTCAGACACCCCAGCCAACTTTTCCTTCCCTGTCTTTGCTGTCCTGCTCATCTAACTTCCTGGCAGTTTACCCTGCTCCCCTTCCTCTCTTGCAGGCCTGTCTGAAGAGCATGCAGCCCCCTTACTCCCCACCTGGCCTTGCCATCCCTGCTCCCCCAGCCTGACCCCCGGCCCCCAGCATGGCCCAGGGTGCCATGCGCTTCTGCTCAGAAGGCGACTGTGCCATTTCCCCACCACGATGCCCCCGCCGCTGGCTCCCCGAAGGTCCGGTGCCCCAGAGCCCCCCAGCCAGCATGTATGGCAGCACAGGCTCCTTGCTACGACGAGTGGCAGGTCCGGGTCCTCGAGGCCGGGAACTGGGACGTGTGACAGCACCCTGTACACCTCTGCGTGGTCCCCCTTCACCCTGCCTTGCTCCTTCACCCTGGGTACCCTCTTCACCCACTGGGCAGCCCCCACCAGGGGCCCAGAGCTCCGTAGTCATCTTCCGCTTTGTGGAGAAAGCCAGTGTGAAGCCACTGAATGGGCTACCTGCTCCTGGAGGCTTGAGTCGGAGCTGGGATCTGGGTGGGGTTTCTCCTCCCAGGCCTGCCCCAGCCCTTGGGCCTGTCTCCAATCGCAAGTTACGGCTGGAGGCATCCACATCAGACCCACTCCCAGCCAGAGGAGGCTCTGCCCTTCCTTGCAGCCGGGACCCTTTACGTGGGCCACTAGTTCCACCCCAGGTTGGGACAGATGGCCTGTATTCTTCTCTCCCCAATGGCCTGGGGGGTACCCCTGAGCACCTGGCCACACTATTCCGAGGACCTGCTGACACCGGATTACTGAACCAGGTATGCAACCTCCTTTGAGCTCTCTGCGACCCCAGTGACTCAGTGAAGGGGCAAGACTTGGCCCCCTCTCAGACTTGGGCTTGTCTGCTGTTCATTTTGAATACTTTAATCTGTCCTAAATCTGTCTTCTTCTTACCCTCTGTGTCCATCCCTGTGTCTGTGCACCTCCATCTGTGTCACTATGTGTTTTTATTTCTGTGTTTCTGTTCTATATTCTTCTGTCCTTATGTCTGGCTTTATCTCTGGGTGCTCATGTCTCCCCCTTGGCTCAGGGGGACACCTGGTCCTTCCCCCGAGAAATTTCCTCACATGCTCAGAGAATTGCTCGAGCCAAGTGGGAATTCTTCTATGGCTCCTTGGACCCTTCCAGCTCAGGTAAGGCCTGGGACTGAGGCAAGGAGAACAGGGCAGGGCCTTTCTCACATCAGCTAAAGCTTGGGTGGAAGTCTGCCCTCATACTTCTCCCAGTCCTTTCCTGGACTTCTGAATCAGCCAGTGCCTCCTTGGCCTCAACTTCCTATCTGTGTTATGAGGAATCTGGAGAATAGGGCACAGTGGGGCACCCAGAGGAGGCTAGGTAGTGGAGGGAGTGGAGGGAGGATGTCAATTATCATTCTGTGGAGTGAAGAAGCAGGTCTCTTTCAGACTTCTCCAAGCTGTTTGACAAGAACTTGGTTTGAAATGAGCTCCACTGGCACCAGGAACAAGCTAAGTTTGTAGCAGGAGGAATGGTGGCAAGACAGTGAAAGGACTTCCTGCCAATATGAGGCAGTGGAGGGAGTTTTGAGAACAGGATCAGGACAGGGAAGTGATAGGGACAACCTTCTGACCTGGATGCTTATGCATACTACAGGTGCTAAGCCCCCAGAGCATGCTCCCCCATCTCCACATGGGGTGGGCTCAGGGCAGGGCTCTGGGGTGGCTGTGGGGCAAGCAGCCAAGTACTCCGAGACGGACCTGGACACAGTGCCCCTGAGGTGCTACCACGAGACTGACATCGATGAGGTGCTGGCTGAGCGGGAGGAGGCTGACTCAGCCATCGAGAGTCAGCCCAGCTCTGAGGGCCCACCTGGCACTGCCCGTCCACCTGCCCCCTGTCCTGGCCCTGGCCCTCGTTCCAGCCTGGGCAGTGGCAATGAAGATGAGGATGAGGCAGGTGGGGAAGAGGATGTGGACGACG